ATTTTCAGAAAATTCATACATGTAGTTGGCTGGCTGTTATAGGAAACCTGAACATTGTTCAGGCAACAATACAATATGCTTACTTATAAGTTGACGCATTTTGAATGGAGAACACATATACACATTATAAACAAATAAAATAGACAGATAGTGCAATTAGCAAAGAGCAAAGGATGCAGGAGAAAATCTAATCACTTTTGTGAATTTACTCTTTAATTATGCCCTCTAAGTTGGTGTAAATCATGTTTTATATTAGGATTGCTTTAGTGACTGAAATCTGCAGGTTTCCACTGAGAGCCATCCAAATAATAAAGTAAGGTTTGGAGTTGGAGAATAAACGAAACAAAAATAGAACTAACCTAACTGCACAACGCACTATTTTACTCTGAGTCTGTCATTACAATATTGTTTTCACGTCAAAAGCATCTAACTTACTCACCGTTTTACAACTTCTTTGTTTGTGGGAAATGCACACCATTCTTGTGTGAAGCATGCCAAGTGCCCCTCTGTGTTATTGTGGACAGAGACTGTCACAAGTGTTTTCACAGCTAGGGTGGCCTGGGTATATGTAGGGGTGCCTTTCTGTTTAGTTCTGATGATGTACATTTTCAACACAAGAATATCTGACATGGTCTTAGTTTTTTTCACCATTTAATTGTTCAGTCAACATTGCTCTCAAAAGCAATATGTTATCTGTTTGATTATACAAATTTAAAGGCACTCTATTCATGTGTAAGGCACGCTCCTCACCTGTCAAGTGTTATCAGTCTTTTTGCATGTTCAGTTCCTATAATTAACAGTTTTTTAACCACTTAATTGTAGTGTATAGTGTATAATTGAATATTTAACAAGGTCTTTAGTTTTTTTACCACTTAATTGTGTAATCAACATTGCTCTCAAAAGTAATATGCTAAAAAGGCGTTAATTGCACTGTTTATAAAAATCTATCTTACAAACTAATTTATGTACATAGTTCAAATAAATTGTGTGTTGTTCTAAAGTGTTTTATGGAAGTTTTTTACACTGTCAAGTTTGAGGTTGGCATATGTTATATTTATGTATTTTGAAAAATATATTGGAAATAAAAATGATTTGAATGTTTTGGGGGTGTTTATTACAAGTTTCAGCTATTTATTGATTTATTAGTAATTTATTACAGACAGAGCCTTCAATTTGGGGTTGTAAGGATTGTATTGATGTATGGCATTTGAAAATGCTCCAAAGATTGACAGTACAGCATGAAAAAATATTTAGATATGCTCTGGCAGAATTGTTCTTTGGCAGGTCATAAAGGGTTAACAACACATGCATGTTATGACATGAAGAGAAGCAAAGATAGAATGATTGAATCTGTGAGTTGGGACAAAGTAGGAGCATAGACTTTGATTTTTAAGTGATGATAGAATATTTGCTCCTGTGTCCAATTCCTTAAGCGTATATTCCTTTAAAAACATCTTCACCATTGATACTGTTATTAGCAACAGGAAATAGCTAAAAATCCATCCATAATGCCAAAGATCAATGTTATGACATGAATTGTAATGTGGAGCAGCACAATTCAAATACCAAACACTACACATCAAGAAACGTTACTCACTTGAAATCCCCCTTTGTGGGTCTGGCAAATCATTACATCTCAAATACTAAATGTTACAAAGTTGAATGTAACAAGTTTTTAAATTTAAAATAAATACATGTGTGTTGAGGCTTTTTCCTCAGACGTGTCTGGCGATTGTTTAGTATTTTCATTGTGTTGAAACTGCAACTGAGACTCTCTATATTAAATCTTTCCATGTTTAAAATAAATCAAAAAAAAAATCAGGGCAGTAAAATATCAGGGCAGACCCATCACACCTGGACACACAACCTGTTCCAGCTTCTCCCCCTGGTGGTGAACACTTGGGATTACATCACCATTAGTTAAAATGCTAGCAATTTATTGTTGATCCTTGAAACATATTCTGCGTTCATACTGTTCACAGAAAGCCACAGGAAGAGAGAAAATCATCAAACAAGTCAACTGCAGCCTCTAACAACAACTGTTTCCTCAGTGGAAATAGAGTCGTTTTTTTTATTCCATGTTAATTATTGTAGAAAACACATATCACTTATTAACATTACAGAGTATATATAAAAGTAATAGACCAAATACAACAATTATTTTCATATGACAGATCATGCACTTTTGTACTGAAAAAAACAAACAAACAAAAACCTTGATTCTATACCTTCTGATATAATTCAGCATTCAACAAAATTATCCCATGATCCTGTTAAATTAATTGGCTACTTGGCATAATACTAGACTAAACATATGCTGCATACTGGAGTACCAACTAAAGTACTAAATTCTAAGAGCTGATTCAAGCAAAGTTTCTCAGTTACTGCAACAACCTTTTTTGCACATATTCCTGCATCTCCTTCAGTAAGGTGTCTCTTCCTCAGTGACCTGTAAGACAGAAAATATAAAGACAAAAAAGGTTCACGCACAACACAGTGTTTTAAAGAGTAACTGCACCGAGGCTACTAATGCTGCACTTAATGCTATCTGATGGTTTCTACATGTTCTGTCCACAGCTTCTACACTTGATAAAGGTCACATGTACAACATTGTTTAGTGTGTTTTGTACCCAACACTAGGGGGCAGCACAGTAAAAGCAATTTTTTCTGCAGATAGTGGTTTTAACAGCACACTGAGTATCTACTTACCCTCTCTGCTCTTATATGTTTATAATACAAAGATCTCATAAAAATATTTAGACACATTCAGACCAAAGAAATATGAAAGGCCAGTGGTTCTCTCTGCTGTACCTCCTCAATGGAAGCATACTGGGGTTCCTGATCTGCTAACGCTGGGTCTGTGGCTGCTGAGGGAGCTGCTGTCACTGTGAAAAATATTGAAACAAATCGTCTCAGCCGCAGACATTTTTTATTCCTGGTGTCCATAAAGCTGTGAACAATGTGGCTGCGTGATCATGTTTTTGTAATAACTAGGATGTGACTAAAGAAGAAACTCTTTCAGTAATGTTGTAAATGTGCTGTTTCCTTCACAAATTCATTTACTTCATAGTCCTAAATCATTCAAATAACATCGTTACCATTTTGGAGAGCATGCGAGGTGCCAGCAGTGATAAAAGTGGAGTGAGAAGATTGAGGCAGGTGTTCATCCATCTCTTAAAAAGGAGACACCAAAGTCAGTAAGACACAAATCAGCATCTACAACATGACATTATACTGTGGCGTGTTAAACCGTCATATGAACATGTGAGAATGCTACTTTGGTCCTGTGGGGGGCTGCAGGCTGAAGGCGCTGAGGGGCCCATCTTACCCATTTCTGTCCGTGGTTTTGTGCTGTGGTTTGTGTCGAGGCAGAGGCTCAAATTATCAGCAGCGTCTGCAGCGTCTAAAACAAAACACAGTGTCTGACTTACTTAGACGAGATGAATGTGTAAACAGAGGTGGTTACAACCGCAGTGTTAGTTGCAACTGCTGCTTGTTTTAATTAGCACTTTATCTCAAAGTGCATAAGATTACCTTTCTTCTTCTTTTTCACTTTTTTGATGACAGTGTAAATGTCCTTGTTTGGATCATTCAGCTTTGCCTCAAGTAAGACTGAAACATAAAGGAACATGTTTATTATACTCTTGTAGGTTATTAAAGAGAATGATTTTGTAAAATAATTTAAACTCGACAAAAGTGAGTTACGGGCAGCAAATGTACACAGATAGAGTAGAAAAAATAAACTGTGCATGACACAAAGTGAATAATTTTAGTACTTAGCTGTTTCTTCCAGCAGAGCAGTCCCATCACCAGCAGCTGCAGAACCAATATGACAGAGATGACGATCCACAGCAGCATGTAGTAAAATGATGCTAGGAACATGACAAAAGGGACTTTCTTTAACAAAAGGCAGCTTTATGCATTACTGAGTTAGACAGATGCTTCTTAATCCACTCACAGTTTTCCACCTTTTGCAGCCTGATGTATTTTGTCTTAGGAGGTTTTGTGGCTCATCATTTTCAGAACCTTTTTAACTCATACATTTATCTGTCACCAACGGGCTCAGTTAGCTTAGAATGAAGTAGTTTGTACTAGTGTTTGTACCACAATTACTTGATCATTGCATTGTGGATTAATCAGTTATTTTTGTAATCAATGAATCGTTGAAGCCATTTTCAAAGTTTTTTTTGTTATGGACTGTTAGACAAACTAAAATGTGTTAAGGCATCATCTAATCATTCACAATTTTCCAACCCTAGTTTGTACAACATGCTGTCCGTTCTCATACCGGACCAGTTTATACGTCTTTGGATTTTTGCCTGCCTGCTTGTACTCTTTTGGTTTTGGTTGCCTGCTCTGACTGCTCGTCTTTTGCCGAAGTTATAATCAATGACCTAGTACATGTTTCTTCTACGTTACCTGCTCTCTCTGCATATTGTGTGTTTGGGTCGCCACTTTGTTTCACTGAAGTTTATGATTTCAGTGTGCAGACAGTAATATATCATTTTTACTGAGGACATGTCTCACCTCTGAGAGCCAGACAGCTCTTTGGTGATTCACCAGCCCCAAACACGTTACACTTGTAGAGTCGTTCATCATTCTTGGAATTGCTGTGGATGGTCATCTCTCCTGTAGAGTTGTTCCTGATGGGGCGGCCATCTTTAAAGAAATCAGCTGTGAGGTCACAGAAAGTTGCAATTTTTCCACAGCGCAGGAGTCACAGCTGCTGCTCCTTCCATCACAGGAAGAGCAGGACTCAACAACAGCATAAAGTATTTTATGTTAGATACTAAAACACATATTCAGTGGTTTATTTTTTATATCAGCATATCCTGTTCAGGGTTGCCTTTCCCAGCATGCATTGAACATGCCAGTCTACCACACAGCTAACTAGTTGCTCACTGGATCATCGAACATTCCAGCATGAATGTAGTGACCTGTATGATTGTGTGAAAGCCTGGAAGTTATGTCCCTGCAGGGGTTTGGAGATGCAACTTATACATGGAGTTAACTTTCTAAAAACAATAAAAGATGATTAACATGCCTTCTCCTTTATTGCATGTACTGACAGTCAGCCAGCTCTCTGCTGATTCTCCAGCTCCAGAGATGCTGCACTTGTAGAGTCCTTCATCAGACTTGGAAACATTGTGGATGGTCATCTCTCCTGTGGAACTGGTCCTGATGTGGAGGCCATCTTTATAGAAGTCTGCAGTGATGTTGGTGGACGTCTTTTTGTTTCTGCAGCTCAGAGTGACAGCTTCTCTCTCCATCACTGGAAGGACAGGACTCTCCAGGATCACAGAACCAGCTGATCCACATCACAAAATGTTTAGAAGCAGAAGTGCAACAAACGGTTTAATTTCAAAATAAAGAATGAGAGGCATAGGTTAACATTTAATATATTTAAGCGATATAGTTGAAGTCAGTGTACCAGTGACAGTGATGTTGACAGTGTTGCTTCTCTCTCCTCCTTCACCTTCACACCAGTATTCTCCACTGTCTGATACAAAGGCATAGTCAATGGTGCAGCTCACAGTTGTTGTCACTGTGCCATTTGAACATTTTTTTATGAATCCCTTGATGTTCCACACTTTCCATCCAGATGAGACATTAAACCCCTCACAGGTAAACTGGACAGACTCATATTCAAAGAGCTGCAGTCTGTTTGGAACGATACGAAAAGCCGCTTCTGAGACAGAGAAACAGAGAATAACATAAATTAACAAGGTGCATACTAACAAAGATAATTTAGTTACCTTCCCTACACAGTGGAAAGTAGCACACTGTTCAGTCACAGTGCCTGCTCTCAGAAGCATTTTGGCAGGGATCATAGCCCAGTAGCTGTTTAGCTATACATGTCATCAACAATAGGTCAAATAATAAATCCCAAAAAATAATACAGATCCATTGAAAATGAGAGTTGTCAGCATAATAGTGGGTTCCTTGGTGCTCTGATTTTTTTAAGCAGAAGACTTATAAGTATCTAAAGCACAAATCGATTGGTATCTCTGTTTTTCAGCTGTTAGGCTTAGATCAAGCTGGCTTTAGCGTTAGCATTGAAGTTTGAGTGTTATAGGGCTAGGAAACCAGTTTAAACACCAATAAATTTTTGTATCTCATGACACTGATTCTCTAAATGCTACCTACCAGATGTCTGAACTTGTGCAACCAGCAGCACCAACACAGTCATCACTAGAGAGACACAAGATGAGAGTTCTGTATCACTTAATTTAATCACTAAAACTTATATAATCATTGTAGAGACATCTTTACTTATTTTATAACCTGCTTGAAATGTTAAAGATTGATAAAATAAAAATATTGCACAGCTGCTGAACAAATGAAATTCCAATTACAACAAGTGATAACTTTAGATACTTTAAAATTCTTATGGGTTTTATTAAATTACTATATATAATATTATATAACTATAATTTGGCATATAGCCTCCATAGAAAACATCTGACACAATTTCACGCTGTCTTAAAGCGTCGGTGAGCACTGAGATGAGAACGCATTGAATCGCATATAGATTGCTGGTGGGTGAAGTTCAGATGTCAGTGTATATATGTTTCTTAGACTTACAGAGGAACTTAATACCACAAGTTCATAAACAGATAGATCCAGACACCACACAATAAAAGAGATTTGTTCAACTTAATCATTTATCTATTTCTCTGAAAAATTGTTAGATCCAATCATATGTTGCTACAAGTTTTATATTTATATTGTTTACTGTTATTCATAAAGGAGACACAGGAAATAGAAGACAGACTGATTACTCACACAGTCTTATGCAGAGAGCTGTAACCTCCATGGTGTCTGCTGCTGACTGTCTGAGCAACAGACTGAAGCTAAATACACTTGCCTATCGTGTAGTTGAGAACTTCCTCTTCCTCTACAGATTATTTCTGGTGTTGAGCACACTTTAGCCTTACACACACTTCTGTGAGGCAGATGTTCTTGAGAACAATAAATTATCTTAGATTTGGACAAAAGCAGCTTTAGACTTTAGACGACGACTTTGATTTCTGCAAGTTGCAGCTGCAACTTGGCTTTTTCCTTAAAGGCATTATTTTGGCGCCAAGCATAGTCACATGCTCTCATGTAATACTTTGGCCCCTAAGAATCACCATCATGGGAGGTACAGATGTATGCAGAGTGATGTAGGCTACATATATGCCTGAGTATACAGGGTCTTGCTTTGCCTGTAGGTCATTCTTGCCCAAACTGCTGACAACACCCTTGACCAACAGAAGACTAAAGGCTGATTATGATGTAAAACCCCATTCTTGGTCTTTGTGCTGGTGGCGAAAGGGAAAGAGATAGGGCGATGTGCACATCAGCAACATTCCACATCATACAGGAATATGTAGGTTACTGACAAGATACCGATCAGTCCTACCGGGTTAAGGGGTCGTGTTCAATTCACTTATTTCTGTGAGATCAGGTTGGATCAGTCTACATCCATGCTAGCAGCTCTGTGAGACTTGGCTACAGCGGTGCTTCAAGCTAAATGCTAATGTCAGCGTGCAAAAGTGCCCGTAATGACAATAGTAACATGCTGATGGTATTAGCAGGAATCATGTCTACCATGTTCTCTATCTTAGTTTAGCATGTTAGCTTGCAACAGGAGAGAGTAAATGTAAATGTTCCATATTTTGACCACTCAAAGTGCTTTTACACTACATCGCATTCACCATTCACACACATTCGCTCACTGAGCCTTAGAAACTAACATTCACACACATTCATACACAGCCACCAACTCAGGGTTCAGTATCTTGCCCAGGGACACTTTGCACTTTGACATGCAGTCTGGAGGAGCCAGGGATTGAACCGCCAACCAACCAATTAACGGGCAACCCACTCTACCTCCTGAGCCACAGCCTAGGGTTTAGAAGCCATTTGCATACAGTGAGTGCATGAAAAAGAAAGAGTCATGAATCTTCCTGTTTGAACTTTTGATCCATTTGAGATAGTTAGTGTGAGAATGAATAAGAAGTCCTACTCTGCCCTCTGCAGACCAGTCAGCTACAGTATCTCATGTTTCTGAGATGCAGTAGAACAATAAAGAACCCGTTGTCATTGGCTTCACATGTGATTATGTGTTTATGATGCCGTTGATCAGGGACCAGGCAACCGGATCAAAGTTCAGCCTCTTATTGAAAAGATCAGCCAAAGACTCCAGCAGAGAGTTCTGACAATTTAATTCAGCAGATTGAAATATTATTTTTGTCAGCTGTAGTTGTGTAGTAATTACTACTGTAGTTTTATATTCTGACCCCAAATAAACATATTTTTTCCTGAATTGCTGCTTTAGAGGCTTTTTCAGCCTGAAAACAATATCATGTAAGGAGTTTCCTGAATAGTTAGAGCTCTGCGTATAAAAAACTATTAATATCTCAACCCTTTTTACAACCGGTCATAAAGACTTGAATCTGCCAGGCTGTTTGGGGCTGCAGGAGATAAGACCGAGCCAATACAGTGTGTCTGTTTGATTAAAGGAGATATACTTGGTTGTGTGTAGTTTGCTGCCAGAGAAAACATGCAAACGGTAAGAAATAATTTTTTCCATTAAACATTTCCTGCTTATTTTAGAGGAATTTCTAACTTTTGGGGAATTAAAGCAATCCTGCCATCCCAGGTGATCCTATAACAAACACAACTCATTTTTCACAGCCCGAGCAGGCGGACTTATATACTCAAAATTGTACATAAAATATAGGTGCAATGCAGGTATGAGCTTTTTTGAGACCGTTTTAAGAGATAAATATGTTAATTTGGACAGAAAAGCAAAACACATTGTCCTCATTACCTTTTTTTGTGAATTTATTTTGTTTTTCAGTTCAGTTTTCAGCACTGCATGATGCCTCACCAGATGGACAGACTGTCCTTCAAACCTCAACGCATTGTTGTCAGCAGTTTGATTTTACATCACACTTTGTTTTTTCTTCTCCTGACGCACTCTCATGGAGGTAACGTATACATAAATATGTTGATAAATGCTCATTACTGTAGAATTTATTGTGGAATTGATTTGGAGTTAATACCCTGCAGTAAATACTTTGTATACAATAAATAGGTTGGAAAAATTAGACACTAATTACATTAGAAACACCTCTCAATAAGATGCAGTTGAATACAAAACTACCACTTTGTGATCTAATGTGTAATAAACATGCAGTTGGATAAATGATTTTGTGAAGGTGGTTTATGGGAAAGCATTAGAATGTACAGCAGTACTAAATAAAGTGGCCACTGAGTGTAAATAAAATAACACCTATAAATGTTATTAACTTAATGACAGCACCACAAATACGTAACTGCATTGTGAGCATGTACAATACATAAAGTTGGCACTGAGAGTTCCTCCTGCTCAGTACTGAGTTTAGTTTCCAGTGCACCATGCTCTATGTGCAACAACTGACATTTTAATGTCACAAACCAGAGCTGTCTTGAATGCAGAGATTTTCTCAGCCGTTGCAGTTCAGCCACAGTGAAGGGTGCCACACTCTCACATAACCTCTGTGGTAAAAATGAAAGTGAAAATGTTTCTCTTGTTTGTTTGGCTGATATGGCTTGTTTGAACATGAAAGTTCAGTTAGATAACATGTTGAGCAAGATAATCTGGGATGTATTTCTGAGTTAGAGGGAAGTGTACAAGTTTGTCATCTACTTTTTTATTGTCAGCATTTAGCTCAAAGCACATCGATCTATTCTTGTTCTGTATTTTATCAACCCTGAATAAAATCCATGTATCAGGTTTTAAGTGAACGAATGAAAACTAAATTTACATTTCTTCATCTAGCTGACACTTTTATCTAAAGCGACTTACAATTGCTATATATTTCAGAGGTTGCACAGTGTCTTGCTCAGGGGCACATTGGTGGATGTGTCACAGTGGGGAATTGAACCCTGGTCCTTCACACCAAAGGCATTGCCACCCCGCAGCATTACCCTGCACATCAAATTCCATTCCCTACATTCAAAATGTAGGAAAACAATGCACTGCTTTGTGGAGATGTTGTCTTTTAGAAAATATAAAGTTTAGTCAGTTCTCACCACATAGCAGGAATTTAACAAACCCATTTTTCCTTCCTCAGATCAGTCTCAGATGATTGTTCAACCTCAGCCAATAATGGCAACGGTCGGTGACGACATCACTTTACCATGCCATGTGAAACCTGCTACAGATGCCTTTAGTGAGATGCTGGAGTGGTCGAGAGCTGACCTGAACCCCAGATTTGTCCATGTGAGGCGATTCGGTGAAGACCATCTGGTTGATCAAAATCCAGCCTTCAAGGGAAGAACATCAGTGTCCATAGACGGACTGAAACATGGAGAGACATCACTAAAACTCTCCAAAGTGAAACTCTCTGATGAGGGAACATACAAATGTTTCATTCCAGGATTAAATACAGAATCTAGTGTTCAGCTTGTTGTTGGTAAGTTAACATGCATGTTGATCATCATATACAGGAAGGGTTTTTTATGCAGCACATCTGTACACTCATAGCCATTTACACCAGAAACAGTTGATGGAAACTAAACCATACCCTTTATTTGTAAACTTACAGTCAATATGCTGACTGTTTACTAAACTAATTATTCTCTGGCTTTTTTCTTTCTCATTAGCAGACATTGTCATCGAGATTACCAAAGTCGGCAGTGGAGAGCTAGGCTGTAAATCTAAAGGCTGGTATCCAGAGCCTGAGGTGTTTTGGCTGGACGGTGAGGGAAACCTCCTCTCTGCTGGACCTACAGAGACAGTCAAAGGTCCTGATGACCTCTATACTGTCAGCAGCAGAGTGACTGTGGAGAAGAGACACAGCAACAGCTTCACCTGTAGAGTCCAACAGAAGGACATCAACCAGACCAGAGAGACTCACATCCAGGTTCCAGGTTAGAAATTATTTACTTATTTATGACGTAATTACTATTTAGATCCACAAACTGTTAAACAAATAAATAAATATCATGTTGTTTTATCATTTCAGATGATTTCTTCATGGACTCATCTAGTTCGTCTGCTTCTACCATCATCGGTTTGATCGTTGGCATTCTGTTTATTCTTGTGGTTGCCTTTGTTGTGTGGAAATGGAGACAAAACAAAATCAGTAAGTCAGTCATCTGATAATGCAACCCTTAGGCTGTGTTCAGGCTGCAGGCCAAAGTGATCCAATTCAGATTATTTTAAACATAGTGAACAGCCCAAGTCACATGGAATATGATCATCTTTACACATTCAGATCCTGGACACTTTCATATGTGGTCCAAATCAGATACAGGTTTGATTTCTTGAAATGCTCATCCTCACTCTGGACAGTCAGATCAGAAAAAATGAAGGGTCATCAAAATTATGTGCTAGCAGGAGCCACAGTGAACACAAACATGGAGGATGGCAGCAGCGGAGATAGTTAGTTAACTTGCTTTCTACTCGTCCTTGTTATCATTTGTTCATGAGTTAATTTTTTGACACCTGAAATCAACGTAAAATTAAAACCTCCACACTCACCATCAGATCTGGGCAATAAATAGGAATTGAGCATTAAGGCCTTCAGTGTAAATATAGTTATAGATAGTTTAGTGTTACAGAGGAGAGTTATCCTGATCAGCTGTGGTTTCTTATTGATATACTATATACATAGCTGCACAGTGTTCACTTAAAGGTATCCCATGCTGAATGCATCTTCACTTAAACTATAGTATTAACAGCATCATACAGTCATCAATATAAAGAAACATCAAGTGGACAACAGACAAAACAAATATTTATATACATGATTCATTTGTTTGGTTTATTCATCTAATATCTTCCATCTGATCTGTCAGTATCTTTTCAGTCCGTTTCTTTACACCGAGCCAGAAAGATTACGGTCAGGTCATCTGCAATATGTGACGTGCATTTAATGTTTGTATACACTGTTATGAAATAAATAATGAATATATATATTTATTTATCTGTTAAAATGAGAGATGTAATCGTTTTTTCCATCATATGATTGTTGTGCTGTTTGTCTTTGGAAAAACTGAATAGTTTGTTTGTTGTTGTTTCTGCACGCAGACACCAAGAAGCTCCCTGAGGATGAAGAAACACAGATACACAGAGAGACGGCAAAAACTGAAACAGTGAAGAATCAGAACAAGGTGGAAGAAGAAAATCACACTGAATGTTTCAGTGAAGAAACAGGACTTTTATGTCAAACAGAGGAGGAGACAAACAGAGAGAAGTTCAGGGCAGAAGGAGAAACCAACAATATTCTCCCACAGGGACAAGAGGACACTGAGAAACAATCTATAGATGCAGGAACATTGTCTCAGTTTGTGATGGAGGACAGAAGACAACGACATGATGTCCAGACAAGAGGAGAGACAACGAATGATTTGGACAACAGAGACGAAGAGACCAAGTCAGTAAGTGGAGAGACACAAACTCCAGGTCCAGCAGAGAGAGAGACACAGCAAGAACACCCAGAGACAATAATTAGAGAGGAAACAAAGTCTGTAAATACTGAAGCAGGAGGTCAGGGTCTGATGGATGGAGGAGGACAACAGCAGCAGGTCAGGGCAGGAGGAGGGACAACAAATGGTGCCGAAAAGAAATATGAGGAAAACAAAATACAATGCACAAATAACAAACCAGAGGTTCAGGATCTAACTGAGAGAGAAAGACAAAAAGGTGATCTCCCAGCTGGAGTGACAGAGAATGCAGCGGATGGAAACACAGATCAGCTGCCAGAAGCAGAAGAACAGAGAGATTTGAAGAAGAAGGATGAAGACAAGGAAACAAAGACTACAAATAATGAAACTGCAGCTCAGGGTCCAGCTGAAGAAGAAAGACAACAAGATGAACTCCAGACAGGAGGAGAGAGAAAACCTGAGGAAACAAAACCTCCAGGTCCACCAACGACAGAAACACACACAGAGCAGCAAACTGTAGAAGAGAAAGAGGAGAGTCCTGACAGCAGAGACAGAGAGGAGGATGGGATATCACAAAAAGAAAAGACAATAACTCAGTCTTTAAATGAGCTGCCAGCAGGACAAGCAAAGAGGGATGTGGAGAATACAGAAGACAGAGAGAAAACAGGACCTTCTTGTCCAGCAGAGGGAGGAGGACAACAAGAGAAGAATGGAGACAGGAGAGATGGAGGAGAGAACACAACATCTATACCAGGAAACACAACACATCAGTCTGCAGTGGATGGAAACACAGATCAGCTGGCAGGAGCAGACGAACAGAGTGATTTGGACAAGAAGGATGAAGACAAGGAAACAAAGACTACAAGTAATGAAACTGCAGCTCAGGCTCCAGCTGAAGGAGAAAGTCAACAAGTTGAACTCCAGACAGGAGGAGAGAGAAAACCTGAGGAAACAAAACCTCCAGGTCCACCAACGACAGAAACACACACAGAGCAGCAAACTGTAGAAGAGAAAGAGGAGAGTCCTGACAGCAGAGACAGAGAGGAGGATGGGGCATCCACACAAGAAGACACAACAACTCAGTCCCTAAATGAGAAGTAAAGAGGGATGTGGAGAATACAGAAGACAGAGAGAAAACAGGACCTTCTTGTCCAGCAGAGGGAGGAGGACAACAAGAGAACAAACCAGAATATCGAGGTCCAACTGAGGGAGAAAGACAAAAAAATGACATCCCTGCAGAAGGGACAGGGAATAAACTTAAACAGACAGCAGGACAGACGGGAGAGTTTGAAGACACTCCCTGTCCAGCAGAGGGAGATGGACACCAGCAAATGAATAGAGGCAGGAGAACACAACACCTCTATAAGAAAACACAGCTCATAGGTCTGCAGTGGATGGACAAAGAGATCAGCTCCCAGAAGAACAGAGTGATCTGGACAAGTAAGATAAAGACGAGGAAATAAAAACTATAAATAGTTAAACAGCAGCTCAGGGTCCAGCTGCAGGAGAAAGACAATAAGATGAACTTCAGGCAGCAAGAAAGAAAAAAAACCTGAGGAAGAACTGAGTCCTAAAAAATAATATTGTTATTAGTAGTAGTAGATTTTTAACGTTGCATCCATCCCCTGTTCAGCGTGTACAAGCTGTAACCATCAGGCAGATGGGAGGGTGCCGTTCCCCCAAACCAACTTATTTGTGCCTGTCAGTATTACAATGCTGAATAAACTGTGATACCAAAGATGATTGTGGTTGTGAAACGTTTGTTGTTCTGACAATTGCTGTATGGCACGAATGAATTTCGGAAAGGACTAATAGATATCTATCTATAAAGACATTTAATTGCATTTTTCACTGTTTTCACAAATCTGTCCTGTTCTTTTATAATGTTTCACTGTCTCAGTACACTGTTAAAATATGTATATAAATGTTCTTGTTGTGGAGAGAAATATGCTCCAACTGCACTGACAAAAAGAAATGTCTTCTTTTTTTTGTAGCTTCTCAGCATCATATTCATTTCATAAGTTTTTTATAATCTGTGTTTTATATTTTTTATTAGTATGATGAGTCATTCCTCTTAATCAGTCAGTAAATCCACATTTATGAAATAAACCTAAATATCTCTGTCTCATATTGCATTTATGAATAACAACAACAATAATGAATAATAATAGATAGATAGATAGATAGATAGATAGATAGATGCCGAATGGCCCTTTTCAGAATAATATGTAAATGTATTATTTTGTTTATGATTAAATTAGTGATGTATTAATGAGTATGCATCTCTAATGTAGCTGGTACATGTGAAGCTAAGCTGAATCACTTTATTTAATCATATGTTGCTTAATCTATAAAAATGTATCATGATTTATTTTGAGTTGAATTGTATTTTCTCTTTATAATCTGAATCTGCAAAGTAACTAATATTGTCAAACAAATATTGGCTTCCAAAATGTAGTGAAGCATAAAATAGAAAGTAAAGTACCTCAAAATGTTACTTAAGTACAGTACTTGCTTGTTTGAAAATCACGTACTTGGTTTGAGATACTCAAACTAAATTTTGCCTCTAATCTAAGAGGCTTCATCAGTTCAGACCCTGACAGTTAATTGTTGTGCAATGAACACGTCTGTTTACAGTTAGTATGTGACGCTGATTTGACAGTGGAGGACAAAGATGTGCAGTGCTGAGAACAGGGAGAAATAAAAGACCATCCACAATGTTTTGAAATCTGATGAAGGCCTTTACAAGTTTATCATTGCCGGAGCATAGAATAACATACACATGTATGCACTGACCAACCATGACAAAGGTGAATTGATCAATAAAGAATTATTACAGGAATGGGTTTAAAACCTGTGTAGAAGGACATATTTACACATATACATTTATGTACATACTCGACATAACGGTCACAGGGTTATAATATTATTTCATTACAAAGAGTTGTTTCTGTTGTTTAGCCTGCCTTGTTTGCTATAAACAAGGTGGACAGAATAAAAGAAACACCTGTCAAAATAATTTAAATACATTTCAACAGCAGAACAAATGACACCATCCAAAATGATCACACAGTTGAATCAACACCTGTTGAAATGTTTCAACCAAAAATGATCATCATAACCTGAAGCAGGCTTTACAGCAGGACTGCAATAGTGTCAGCCAGGTGTACCTAAACCGAGAGAGAGTAATCACTTACTGTTATATTTTAGACACTGCTAAATCCATCAAGAGTATGGACAGTAAAAGTGAGCTTCATAACCATCAGTTCATCTAAGCTTCTTCTCTGAATCTCTCAGCACACACGGCATATGTGCTGCTGTTGCTCTCTCTCTTTATTCACTTCTGCCTGATGTTCTCTTTTGTTGTTGGGTTTACCTTCTGTCCCGAGCTTCTCTGCATTTCTGCTTTTGTTATTTGTAGATTTTATTTTATTTTCATCTTCCTTGTCAGGATCTATCTCTGCTTCCTCCTCAGGTTTTCTCTCTCCTCCTGTCTGGAGTTCAACTTGTTGTCTTTCTCCTTCAGCTGGAGCCTGAGCTGCAGTTTCATTACTTGTAGTCTTTGTTTCCTTGTCTTCATCCTTCTTCTTCAAATCACTCTGTTCTTCTGCTTCTGGCAGCTGATCTGTGTTTCCATCCGCTGCATTCTCTGTCACTCCAGCTGGGAGATCACCTTTTTGTCTTTCTCTCTCAGTTAGATCCTGAACCTGGGAACTGCACATGTGCAACTCCCAACAAACATTTTGTACAAGTAAGATGCATCACTCTGTAGCTCAAGAGCGGAGCGAACAACACACTGGATGGATATTCAGATTTTTGGCTAAATACAAATACAAAAAATAATACTGAAAACATTACCTTTAATCGAGACAATACTTTTTTCTCTAAATGTACACATTGTAATAACACAGTGCATTCTCTAATATAATGTATAATTGTTGCACATTTACATAGCAGAGTTAAATTAAGTAAATTAAATTAAGTTAAAATCAGAATTCTGCATATATATATATATATACAACACAACAAAAGATTCTTTCTCCCAATCTGGGATGAAGCATCTGTACGTTCCCTCGTCAGATAATGTCACTTTGGAGAGTTTTAGTGACATGTCTCCGTGCCTCAGTCTGTCGATGAACACTGATGTGACACATGGACAAATCTGGGGTTCAGGTTAGGTCTCGTCCATTCGAACGCAATGGCAACAGCATCCTCTGCAGGTTCCAGGTGGCTTGGCAACATGATGTCATTACCAAGTACTGCCACTATTGGCTGATGTGGACCAATCAGCTGACTCTGACCTGAGGAGGAAACAGATCTCCTCTACAGTAACTTGTACAGAAACATCCCACATTAACAAAAAGGGGCTCTGTGTCACACTCTGGTCGGTGGTCCGACCGGCACCTGCTTCGCCGGTGGCCCAGCCGACTCCTGGTTCCTTGTCGGTGGTCCGACCAGCACCAGCTTCGTTGGTGGCCCAGCCGACTCCCGTTCCTCGTGCTTCGCCGGTGGCCCAGCCGACTCCAGTTCCCTCGTCGGTGGTCCGACCGGCACCTGCTTCGCCGGTGGCCCAGCCGACTCCAGTTCCCTCGTCGGTGGTCCGAACGGCACCTGCTTCGCCGGTGGCCCGACCGGCACCTGCTTCGCCGGTGGCCCGGCCGACTCCTGTACCCTCGTCGGTGGTCCGGCCGACTCCTGGTCCCTCGTCGGTGGCCCCACCAACTCCAGCTCCGTTGGTGGCCCAGCCGACTCCTGTTCCTAGTGCTCTGTCGGTGGTCCGACCGACTCCTGTTCCTAGTGCTCTGTCGGTGGTCCGACCGGCACCTGCTTTGCCGGTGGCCCAGCCGACTCCTGTTCCCTCGTCGGTGGTCCGACCGGCACCTGCTTCGCCGGTGGCCCAGCCGACTCCTGTTCCCTCGTCGGTGGTCCGACCGGCACCTGCTTCGCCGGTGGACCGAACGACTCCTGTTCCCTCGTCGGTGGTCCGACCGGCACCAGCTCCGTTGGTGGACCGAACGACTCCAGCTCCTCGTGTCTGGTCCATGGTCCTCAGCTCAGCTGTCCAGTCGGTGGTCAGACCGACTCCAGCTCCTCGTGTCCGGTCCATGGTTCTCAGCCCAGCTGCTCAGTCGGTGTTCAGACCGATTCCAGCTCCTCGTGTCTGGTCCATGTTCCCCAGCCCAGCTGCTCAGTCGGTGTTCAGACCGACTCCAGCTCCTCGTGTCCGGTCTATGGTCCTCAGCCCAGCTGTCCAGTCGGTGGTCAGACCGACTCCAGCTCCTCGTGTCCGGTCCATGGTCCTCAGCCCAGCTATCTCGCCCGTGGTCCTCAGCCCAGCTGCTCAGTCCATGGACCTCAGCCCTGCTGCAGCTCCAGAGCACCAGAGCTTCGGCCTCCAGTGGGTTTCCAGCCTCTTTGTTGGCCTTCCTGCCGTTCCCCTGAACAGTCCGGCCTCCAGGGCCGTACTCCGGGACGGCCACCTGAACTCTGTGGTTCCTCTGGTCCTCCCGCCCAGTTGGGTCGTCCTCCCAGGCGACCTCCCGAACTCTGTGGCCCCCCTGTTCTGCCCAGCCTGTTGGGTCGTCCTCCGGGACGGCCTCCCGAACTCTGTTCTCCCCCTGATTTGCCCGGCCTCATGGGTCACCCTCCGGGACGACCCCCTGAACTCTGTTGCCCACCTGGTCCGTTGGGTTATCCTCCAGGACGACCCCCTGAACTTTTGTCCCCCACTGGATGCCTCGGTCAGCCTCCTGAACTGCCTTGCCCTGCCTGTTTGACCTCCCCCCTGTACTCTGGTTCCCTTCTGTCTGCTCCTTGGACTGTGGGTTTTTTGTTTTCTCTGGCCCTCCTCCTGTCCTCCCTCCGCCCACCCTGGTTTGGCTCTTGCCCTCCTGGTCTGCTGTGTCGACCTCCGGGTCTGCCCCCTGAACTTTTGTTCACCTCTGGCCGCCTTGGTCGGCCTCCTGAACTGCCTTGCCCTGCCGGTAGTTGGTCCTTTGGGACTTTTGGTTTTGTTTTTCTGGCCCTCCACCTGGCCTCCCTCCGCCCACCCTGGGCCGGCTTGACCTGTTTGTGTTTTTTTGTTTGTGATGTTTCGTTTTAGGACGTCAGGGGCCGTCCTTTTGAGGGAGGGGTACTGTCACACTCTGCATGTCTGTCTCTGTTTTCCCCTACACTCTCTCTCTCTCTCTCCCCCCCCCCCCTACCTGTGCCTCGTTAGCCTCATGTCTTTCACCTGTGTTGCTCCCGCCCTGCTCATTAGTCCCTGTGTATATATACCTTGTGTTTCTGTCTTGTCTTTGTCGGGTCATTGTATGTTGTCACCCTGTGTAGCAGTGTGTTTTGTGTCGTCAGCCTCACTCGTCTTCTCTCCCTGTTTCCCTGCCGTTATTGGATTTTGTATTTTGTATTTCTGTTGGACAGCCTTGTTTTTGGACTCAGTCTATCAAGCCATTCTGTTTGTAAGTGTGCTCGCTTTTTTGTTATATTAAAACCACTGAACCATACCTGCTCCGCTCTGTGTCCTGCGTTTGGGTCCTCCAACCTGCTCCACCCTGCCTTCACCACAAACCCGTGACACTCTGCATTTCTACTGTCCGCTACGCTGCAGATGGATTAATCATTGCATCCACATTATTGTGAAACATGACCGTTTACTGTCTAAGACTTTACCTCCACAAGAGTGTGTTAGCAGAAGTGAGAGAACCACAGCACTGAAGGCACTGAGATGAGTCATGATCAGATGAATCATGTTGGAGTTTAAATCTAAAAATTCAAACAAAACCTGTTGTAAAATGTTTCAGCCCGTTTAGATTTACAAATACAGATTCTGTTCTGTGGCCAATCACAAAAACTGATAAAAAAGGATATTATTCTTCCACATTTACTTATTTTTAAGACACCATATTTATTTGTTTGTATTTTTTTATACATATATGAACACATGCTAACACTTTAGCACATTAGCATTAGTTCCTTCCAAGACATTCAAGCTTCTATCGTATTTCTGACTCTTTCCAGAAACAGACTGTTGTAGCTTAATAATCAACCTTGAAGTTTACAAAGTATTTTCCATATAACAGTTTGTTTCATTTATGTTTCAACATAAAACAACGTCTGT